GGGAAAGGGTGGTGGTGGTGATAATTAATCTCAAATCAATTCAGTGACATTTATTGGTTGCCTTGAATGATGGTAACAGAGGATCAAGGTTGAGAAGCTTGGCTTAGCTTCAAATCGACTTGGGTTTAAATCACAGCTGCAGCATTTTCCGTAAGACTCCAGGCAGGTTACTCAAACTAAGTCTCAGTTTTTGCATAGTGGATATAAGTGTTCCCACTTCATAGTGTTGTGATGAGGATTATGTGAGACATGACAACACTTAGCAGAATGCCTGGTGCAGGGTAATGCTCAGGAACTGCTAACTCATAATAATATGATGATCTGGCATGCAACTGCCCTCCTTACTAGGACCCCATCCCAATGCTCAGACCACTGCTTTGAGGACCCTGGACAAAGTAATCTAGATAGTAACCAATCTTGTGAGTAATTCCTGTGTTCAGTTGGTTAGAGGGATTTAGAAAGGAGGACACAATGTGACCCAAGCCCTTGCAATGCTGTCTTGGTGCCGTGGAATTGACCTGGCTTTCTTTGTGGACACAGGCCAACCTGTCCAACAAAATGCCCATGCCATAAGATATCTCACCCTTCTTGCCAATCAATATAGTGATCTGGGTCATTTATCAGATCAGTTTGGTGACAGACAATGTAGTACAGGTGTAAAAAGCAAATGATCTGAAGATAGAAAGCCTGAGATTAAAATGATGCCTTCTTATTTTCTATTATGTACCTCAGATGACTTATTCAATCTTGCTAAGAGAACTTTTGTTTCCTCATCTGTAATTTGGAGTAATATAAATGTTTTCTTATAGGGTTGCTGTGATGATTCAAGAGATCACATAAGAAGAAAGGTCAGCACGTTTCCTGGCACATAGGAATGGTTCCATAGATGGTGTGTTAGTTGCACTAAAAGAGTGGTAGTCAGTGATGATGTTGCTTCCTTACATCCTTGACTCTTTTGCCCTTGCCTTGCAAGCACCTGGTACTCTTTTTCACACCTGTCCCTCAAAGCTCAGTTCACACCAACATAGTCTTGAACCCAAATTAATCCACACACAGCCTCATCAAAGCACTTCAGATTCCTGTGTCTTCATCAGCAAAGCTGGGCCCAGAAGCCCTTAAGAACCTGGCAAAGTTCCTTCTGGCTGGCTTGGCACAGCAGGAAAACAGCAGTGTTAACTGCTAATTTCCTGCAAAGGCAGCAGACTCTGCCTTTCACAGTGCGCAGCAGACACCACACACCCAGAGAAGTTCCCAATTAACCACTCACAATTAGTGTCTCTCAAAAGTGCATATGTTATTCTCTGCCCAACTAATTAACTGCACTAAACACGCCAGGTTTAAAGGTGTGGCATGGGTTATCAAAAAGCCTTTGAGAACCAAGTCAGATTCAAGGCTCAGAAGACTCAAAAGTTCTGCTCTAGTTCACCACCAAGTAGACTGGGATCTTAACTCTATCTCTCTGCAAGCAGGGGCACTGCTGCAGAGACTCTCTACCTGTTGAGATTGTTAGAACTTGGAAAATTGTGATGACCTATAGGAAAGTGCTCTGAGAGGTCTAATGACTGCACAGATGCTCACTGATTCCTCCTGGCCTCTGCTGTGATTGTTGTTTTTCCTTCCTGTGGCAGGAAGGAGGATCAATCTTAAGCAAACGTGATGTATGCATGTGCCTTCTAAGGTGTGAGCTTCATGCACATAATCTCATGAGATCCTCATGACCACCCTGTACCCATAAGGAAAATAAACCTGAGATGGGCTTCAAGGTGGTCACACAGATGGTAGCTGAGCCACAATGTGAATCCATGTTAAGCTCCCTTTTGAAATCTCAAGACTCATTCTCCTCCCTAACCCATGCAAACTATAATTCTTCTTGCATAGCCCCTTTAGGTTTCTATTTCCCTGTCATTCCTCTCCATCATTCTCCTCCACCCTCATCTTTCCCTCATTAAAAAAAATAAAACTCTCTTCAAGCACTTGAACCCAGGAGGCCGAGGTTGCAGTAAGCTGAGATGGCGCCACTGCACTCCAGCCTGGATGACAGAGTAAGACTGTCTCAGAAAAAAAAAATGCTCTCTTCCCTGAGGCTTCCCTTCCTAGACCAGTGACTTCTACTTAATTTGGTGAAATATTCTTTGCCAGTCTGCCAGCTGAACGCTGCCATTCTCCTCTCCCCACCCAGGTAATATAATTATTTTAATGGGAACTTTGTGGGAAAACATATGATATGCTGAAGCTCCACCAGTTATTACCCACTTGTCGCACCTCCACTGGGAGTTGTCCTGAGCAACCATGCTGATGGACACAAGGGTGCTTGTGAGAGTGAAGCCAGGAGGTTCCGCTCAGTGGCATTTCTTCAAGGAGGTGACTACAGAACAGGGTTAGAAGGTAGAGGGTACAGTAAGGAGCGGCTGGGAGATCCTGTGGGCAAAGACAGGATAAAATAAATTATCATGTGCTGTAGCTGGAGAACTAGCTTTACCTGCACAGAACAGAGGGACCAAGGAACACACAAGTCCCTTCTTTGGAAGGCCTGTATTCTCTCCCTTCCCGGTTCTCTATCCAAACCCTTCCTCGTCAGAGACAGCTCTTGGGGCTATGAGTCACAGGTGGCTACTAAGAGGTGATGTTTGATCTACCTCTAGGTTCCAGGCAGGAAAGAGGTGGCGGACAAAGCTTCACCCAAGAGTTTTGTCATGAAATCACTTATAAGAGGGGGTTGATGGCACATTATCACACTCAGGAGGTATCTTCTAAGACTGCAGCAGAGATAACGTATGTGGGATCTAGCTCAATATAGACAAATGGGCCCAGAATGAGATCTCCAGAACAATCCTATTTATGCCTTTTAATTGAAGTGCTTAGAGCATTTATACTTGATGTAATTTTGATAGAGTCAGGTTTAAATTGACCATCTTGCCATTTGTTTTTCATTTTTCTCATTTTTTTTGTTCTTTTCTTATGCCTTTTTTCCACCCCCTGGAATTGTTTTTAAATCTGCCCTGTATTGTTTCATTCTATGCATACGTAGATTATTATTTAGAAAGGATTGAGAGACACCCTATGAGGATTTCTGGAGCCTTTCTCTGCTTAACTTCTTTTTCTGGCGTTCTGTTCTGCAAATTACAGCTGCCATGTTCGTCACAATTCAAACATCTCTCTGCCAGTCAGCTAGACTGCTACTCCCTACTTGAGCCACCTTCCTTGTGCCAAAGTTGGGGAATTTACCACCATGCAACAAACTGGTAGATTTACAGAATCACCTCATTTGTTATTCTTCTCCCAGAGATACCACTTACGTGTTGCCTATTATCCAAGTTCTGAAACCAACTGTTTGACATCAGTCCCATAGCTGTTCTCCTTCATGGGCAAAAATAAAAATGCCTTTTCTAGTGTCAAAACTGATTTTTTAATAGCAATTTCAATTGTAGCTAGTGCTTAATGTCTTTTCTCCACAAGTTTGAAAGTGTCTGTGATCATCTCTGTCACACATTGCATTCCTTTAGAAGCACTGTAATGTTCTAAAGATGCTAGCTTCTTATTTTAGCTTCTAGTTTCCTACTGTGGTACAGCAGCCAACTCAATCATTTTATTGAAGCAAAATGTTTCTTTTAAAGATAAGGTCTCAATAAGTTGCCATATTGGACTCAAACTCTTGGGCTTTAGTGATCCTCCCACCTCAGCCTCCCTGGCAGTTTTCTGAAGGTCAGAGTGACATTTCAATTGGTAGATCCAATCCTGCACTTCTGACTCCACTGATATGGTAGGAAAGTTACAGTAGAAAAACCTCCAGGTACCAAAAAGTAGAATGTAAAATATAAAGAATATTTTGCATAATACATAACTCATTTGGCTTAAAAAGAAATCCTCAAAATAAGAGAAAGGGAGAGGAAGAAGTGTTTGTGGGGTGGGGAGGAAGGGAAATGTATTAAAAATTCAGAGAAAGGAGAACACATGGACACAGGGAGGGGAGTACTAAACACTGGGGTCTATTGGGGGGAAAAGGGGAGGGCCAGTGGGAGGGGGAGGTGGGGAGGGATAGCCTGGGGAGAAATGCCAAATGTGGGTGAAGGGGAGAAGAAAAGCAAAGCACACTGCCATGTGTGTACCTACGCAACTGTCTTGCATGCCCTGCTCATGTACCCCAAAACCTATAATCCAATAAAAAATTAAAAAAAAAAAAAAAAATTCAGAGAAAGAACTGACCCACTGAAATCTGAAGTCTTCTGATGAGTATTTTCCAATTAAACTCCATTGAAGTTTTTATTTGATATTCTTGAGAGTGACTGGAGGCAAAAACCTAGAAGATGTGAGGAGTCATTTTAGAAATCCTGCATAAAGCCAAGAGTCTCCAATGGCGGCTATAGACTTTGTGAATGGGTGAACTAGAACTCCGATCTACTGCACAGAGATGCAAAGAACTTGCCTTTGTCAGCCTTGGGCTGTGGTTGAAAGGGAAAACAGAATGTCTGCATAGAATTTGTAATAACAAGTCTGGCCTCTTTTATTTTTGAAGTTTAAAATCATGCTACTCGAGTGTTTTTGTTTTAAAGATAAGAACTGGATTTTTAAAAAGGTTAGAACAGTAGTTAAGATGGCTGGCTCAGACAGATATATATTTTTTCTAGGGAATAAACTCTCAACAGAAGCTTCCCAATATCTCATGAACAAAGTTTTAAGAAAAATGAATTCCCAGTAAGAAAAAAAAATCATAGAATACACAACACTAAGGCCACATGAAGAGTCAGTAGAACTGAACAAACAAAAACAAAACCATACACATATATATTAATATATGCATGCATATGTATTAATATACAAAATGAATCTCTCTAAAGTGTTTGTGTATATGTATATATATTTACATACACATATTCCTACAAAATAACTTCAAATATTAGAATTATCCTATATAAAATATAAAAATTAGTAAGTTTATTTTTTTAAGAAAAATAAATCAGAACATTGCTAATATGATTAAAAAGTGGATAGAAAGCTGAAGAGAGAATTGAGTTTAAAGATCAAGCTCAATAAAATTACACAAAATAGAGCAGAGAGAAATAATAAATGGAAAATATGAAAAAAGAATTAATAAAAATAAAGGTTAGAGGAGAAGCCTAACTTAGGACTCCAGAAGCTGGCTTCTGCAACCACTATTACTCTGAAGTTCTGACAGGAAGTTTCAAATTTGATGCAAATACCAGTAATGATAGTTATGGGGGATGCTTTTCATGATGTTTTGGAAGGCATTAAGCACATGGCCAGTTTTCACTTCAGAGCATCTTTGACCAATGTTTCCCTCAGAACATTTGCCAAATACTGAGGCTGCACAGAGCAGGATGCCTGAAACATAAATGTCAAAAGTCCCTTAAAGCAGGGTGGCATTTTACAGTATACTCTTAAAATTAGAGGTCTGGACAACTGGGGATAATCATGTAGAATAAATCAAATATTTGGTTGAAAACTTTGAAGGGGCAAATCATCTGTATGAATCATCATGCTAGCTCTGCAACCCAGATTTAACTGCTGATACTCTCAGATTAAGGAGAGAAATCTCATTTTATCTAGCTAGCAGTGAGGAGACAGAACCCTAGCTAGAGAAAGATCACATCCTTTGGAACCTCTGTGGTTTGTAAAACATACCATCTGTCATTCCATGAAAGATTACTAGACATGCTGAAAAGGAGTACATAATCAAAATTCAAGAGGAAAAACAGACAATAGAGGCAGATCCTCAAGTGATTCTGATATTGGATTTAGCCGGCAAGAACTTTTAAATAATTATTTTAAAGGAATGCCTTTAAATGAATTTTATTTAGAGAATGCCTAAATAATCCTGAACACAGCATTGGTAAAAATATGGACATTAAAGCCATTCTCATAAAATCTCAGATGGAAGTGAGGAACATGTTACTGGAAACTAGATGAAAAGTAATTCTTGTTACAAAGTGGCAAAGAGCTTGGCTAAATTGTGTTTATGTAATTCATGTCTTAAAAAAAATAGAGAACAGGTAGAAAAAAACACATGATTTCACCAGATAATTAGAATCCTTTTTTAAAAAACAACTATATAAACATTCTCAAACTGAAATTACAACATGGGGACTTAATGCCTCACCAGACAAATTTAACTACAAATTAGGTGGGGCAGAAGATAAAATTAGTGTACTGAAAGACTAATTAATAGAAAACACTAAAATGGAAGCACAGACATTAAAAAAATACAGAAAAATAGAGAAATGTATGACTTGGTGAAAAAAATCCATATATATTATCGGAGCTCAGAAAAAAGGAGAAAGAATAAGGCAGAAGTAACATTTAAAAAATAATATCCTTCAAACTAATAAAGAACATCCCATAGATTCAAGAAGTTTCTGTGAACCTCCAGGAGAACAAATACATAGAAATTAGATCAAGGCATATATGATGGCTAATTTTATGTGTCAATTTGACTGGGCTAAGGGATGGTCAGTTAGGTAGTAAAACATTGTTTCTGGGTGTGTATATGAGGGTGTTTCCAGAGGAGATTAGCATTTTAATTTTTAGACTAAATAAAGATTGTCTTCACCAATGCAAGTGACCATAATTCAATCTGTTGAGGGTATGACTAGGAGGTGGAGGAAAGATGAATTTGCCATCTCTGCTTGAGCTGGCACATCTCCTGCTCTTGGACATTTTTTTTCTCTCTCAGTTCTGTTTTTCTGGAAAGTTATGACTAACACAGATTTTGGTACTGAGAAGTGAAAGTGCTGCTATAATGAATACCTGAAAATGTTGAGTGTCTTTGGAGCTGGGTAATGGATAAAAGGCTGGAAGAGTTTTGAGGTTCATGCTAGAAAATGCCTACGTTATTGAGACTGGATCTTTAAAACCTGGAAGATGGAGGTTTCAGTGAGCTGAGACTGCACCACTGCACTCCAGCCTGGGTGACAGAGGGAAATTCAAAAAAAAGAGAGAATTGGACCCACACTTATCCCGATGAGAGGCAATGATGCTGGTGGTAGTGTCTCCATCCGATATACATCCCTTCTGTTTAGAGACCCTAGAGACCACCTGATACAATCTCCTGATTTTATAGGCAAGAGAACATGGGCAGTGAGAGCCTAGTACAGAACCCGCTCAAGCCAGGCCTGTAGCTCCCAGCCCAGAGCTGCAAGCCAGCGCAGGAAGCACGGGCGAGCATGGACTGGCATGCGCCAACTGGCACACGCCAGGGTGGGGCAAGTATGGACTGGCACGCGCCAGGGTGGGTACGGTGCATCCATCTCCAGAACCTCAAGAAGCAGAGGACACGTGCTGGAATCTGCTACCTGATTTCGATGCTTTGCAACTTGCTCCAGACACTCTTCCGGTAGAAAAAGAGCCTGTTCTTCTGAAACGTGGTCTCCGTGACATAAAAAAAAGATCTGAGCAGCTCCACCACGTACACACCCATCAGCCAGTGCAGGAACTTGGCCAGGATCTCCTCCCGCAGACGGTGCTCTGTGGCCAGAACACTGCTGACCCCTGAAATGAGAAGGACATGGCATATCCAGCTCACCGCAGGGCCTGGCGACCTCACCCCACACCTGCACCCTCCGGTACGATGGCCGGGGGAAGCCCGGTATGTCTGGGCCGAGAGGGCCGCACTCAGGACCTGGAAGATAAAGCAAAGGAAACGCTAAGTATCCTGTGGGTGATGCTCCCACCAATGACACCCTAAAATGATGAGGTGTGGACATGCGGGGCTTTGGTGATACCTCTCATCACACGAATTTCACCTTCCTTTCCTTTTTTAATGTGGCTACTAGAATTTTGTTTTTTTTAGATGGAGCACTCTGCGCCCAGGCTGGATGGAGTGCCTCAGGGCAATCTTGGCTCACCGCAACCTCCAACTCCCTGGTTCAAGCGAATTCTCCTGCCTCGGCCTCCTGAGTAGCTGGGATGACAGGCATGCATCACCACACCAGCCTTAAGTTTTTGTATTTTTAGTACAGACAGTGTTTTACCATGCCTGTTGACCAGGATGGTCTCAATCTCCTGGCCTCATAATCCACCTGCCTCAGCCCCCCAAAGTGCTGGGATTATAAGCATGAGCCACCGCGCCTGGCCCTAGAAATTTTAAGATTATCCACATGGCTCACGTCATGCTCCTGTTAGGAGACAGTGGCTCGAAGCCTTATCCTCGGTCCTCCTGGTTCCCATGCAGAAAGGAGGAAGCAGACACTCTTCCACACACAGCATTTCAAACTCGCCACCCCAGAGCCACCAGATCCCGACACACCAGGGTTTTCCAGGCTGAGCCAGGCCAAGGGGATGCTGTTGTCACTCGCTGGCTGAGGAACGCCCGGAGATCTCCAGGCCAAGTGGACACTGCTGTCACTTGCTGGCTGAGGAATGCCCAGAGTTTGCCAGGCTGAGCCAGGCTAATTGGATGTTGCTGTCACTCACTGGCTGAGGAGCGTAGCCACGTGGTTCTCCAGACACTCACGGGCTGAGATGACCACCCTCCTCGAACATCTCCACACCTTCATCTGTGCAGGGTAAGCAGAAGTCCCGGACGTCACTGGATGCCATGGGGCCATGGCCCAGGTGAAGCTGGGGTTTGCCAGCAATAACGAGACAGAAGAACTACACAAAGACAAGGAAGGGGACCCCAGTAGGCGGGTCTGAGACAGAAGGCAGGGAACAGAGGAGGAAAAAAGGGGCGGGGTCAAAGCTAAAGAAACACTGAGCTCAGAAACAACACTAGTAATGTTTAGCTTGTGAGGCGTCAAGAAGCCTGAGACAGAACTAAGTCAGCAGGGGAAGAGCACAGAGGTTGGGGGTGGCGACCAGCGATAAACCACACTGAGGCTCTTACTGCTCAGGAAAAGGGGAGCAATGTGTCAGACTTCATTTAAAAGATTAGGGTAGGCCAGGAGCGGTGGCTTGCATCTGTAATCCCAGCACTTTGGGAGGCCAAGGCGGGAAGATCATGAGGCCAGGAGATTGAGACCATCCTGGCCAACACAGTGAAACCCATCTCTACTAAAAATACAAAAATTAGCCGGGCACGGTGGCACATACCTGCAGTCCCAGCTACTCGGGAGGCTGAGGCATGAGAATCGCTTGAACCCAGGAAGCAGAGATGACAGTGAGAGGAGATCATGCCACCACACTGCAGCCTGGGTGACAGAGCGAGATACCATCTCAAAAAAACAAACAACAATGAAAAGCTCAGGGGGTAACACTAAGCAGAGAGAAATAAAGTAAATGCCTCCTGATGAGGAGGCAACGACAGGATCAATGCACACTGGGAAGGAAGCGCGCCCTCAGAAGCACAGGAAGTGCAAACTCGGCAGGAAGAGTGCCCTAAGAAGCACAGGAAGTGCAAACTCGGCAGGAAGAGTGCCCTCGGAAGCACAGGAAGTGCAAACTTGGCAGGAAGAGCGCCCTCGGAAGCGCAGGAAGTGCAAACTTGGCAGGAAGAGCGCCCTCGGAAGCGCAGGAAGTGCAAACTCGGCAGGAAGAGCACCCTCAGAAGCGCAGGAAGTGCAAACTCGGCAGGAAGAGCGCCCTCGGAAGTGCAAACTTGGCAGGAAGAGCGCCCTCGGAAGCTCAGGAAGTGCAAACTCGGCAGGAAGAGCACCCTCGGCAGGAAGAGCACCCTCGGAAGCGCAGGAAGTGCAAACTCGGCAGGAAGAGCATCCTCGGAAGCACAGGAAGTGCAAACTCGGCAGGAAGACCACCCTCGGAAGTGCAGAAAGTGCAAACTCAGCAGGAAGAGTGCCCTCGGAAGCGCAGGAAGTGCAAACTCAGCAGGAAGAGTGTCCTCGGAAGCACAGGAAGCAGAAACTCAGCAGGAAGAGCGCCCTGGGAAGCACACGAAGTGCAAACTCAGCATTAAGAGCACCCTTGGAAGCGCAGAAAGTGCAAACTCGGCAGGAAAATCACCCTCGGAAGCGCATAAAGTGCAAACTCAGCAGGAAGAGCATCCTCAGAAGCGCAGGAAGCAGAAACTTGGCAGGCAGAGCGCCCTTGGAAGTGCAGGAAGTGCAAACTCGGCCAGAAAATCACCCTTGGAAGTGCAAACTCAGCAAGAAGAGCGCCCTTGGAAGTGCAGAAAGTGCAAACTCGACAGGAAGAGCACCCTTGGAAGCGCAGGAAGTGCACATTCAGCAGGAAGCTCACCCTCGAAGTGCAAACTCGGCAGGAAGAGCGCCCTCTGAAGTGCAGGAAGGGCAAACTCAGCAGGAAGAGTGCCCTTGGAAGCCCAGGAAGTGCAAACTCGGCAGGAAGTGTGCCCTCAGCAGGAAGCTAAGAAACAGAGAATGAGGACACGGAAAGGCAAATGGAAAATCAAAGTGCATAGACAGGTCTCTAGTGATGAACAATGAAAACAAATCAAGTTATCCAGCTAAACAAACATTGTCAGACTGGACTGGAAATTCACCTGTGTGTTGTTAATGAGACACACCTACACTATAAAAACATAAAAGTGCTTTTATGTTAGGCCAGGCACAGTGGCTCATGCCTGTAACTCAGCACTTTGGGAAGCCAAGGTAGGTGGGTCCCTTGAGTCCAAAACTTTGAGACCAGCCTGGGAAACACAGCAAGACCCTGTCTCCAGAAAAAATTTAAATTTAAAAATTAGCTAGGTGCAGTGGCACTTGTCTGTAGTTCCAGCTACTCAGGAGGCTGAGGTGAGAGGATCCCTCAGGCCAGGAGATAAAGGTTACAGAGAGCCGTGACTGCATTCCTGCACTTACCCTGGGCAACAGAGCGAGACTCTGTCCCAAAAAAAAAAAAAAAAAAAAGGAAAGGAAAATATAAATTAAAGACAGAAAACCAACACAGCAGGAAAATACTAATCACAAGAAGCCCAGTGTGGCAGCACTAAGAGCAATTTACAAAGAGTTACTAGATTACTAGAGACATAGAAGTCTACAAAAGATTCACTCATCAGGAAGATAAAAATTCCACCAGGTGCACGAACCTAATAATGCCCTGCATAAATGCCACCAAACGAGAAGAAATGACAGACCCATCCCCCAGGTGAGGGACTTGGCCTCCCTCTTGCAATTTCATGCATCTAGAAGGAGACAGAAGCTTTGTGCAGAACCCTAATAAGCTGGATATAGTGAACATGGCTGCTATCTACAGGGTGTCAAATATACAATGGACATTTCTGGAAGCCACCCACACACTAGATCACAAACTTCAAATTAATTGGTATTATACAGACCACTAGATAACTGAGTTAGAAATCAATAACAACGTAACTTAAAATACTCAATGTATCTGGACAATATTCTTAAAACTCACGGATCAAAGAAAGAATAAGCTAAACAACACTTAAAAGGGTCTGATATCAAAATGACTTCACATCAAAACACAGAGTGCACAAACAAAAAAATCAAAGAATGGGAATACTTAAAAGTATTAACACTATTAGGTATTTTAAGAACTCCTAAAAGTGGCTGAAGTCAACATTATTTCACATCAAAGTGCAGGCTGCAGCTGAGGCAGCACTTAGAGGGAAATGCAGAGCTAAGCTAAGAGGTTAGAAAAGGAATGAAAGAATAAACCGAAAGAAAGCATCCACTGCAAAGACAGAAACATCCGAGGTAAACTAGTGAAATTCAAAACAAAGACCCAGAGTTAAGTCTGACAAAGCCAGGCCGAGACACTGGCCCCCTTGATGCGGGTCTCAGAGCAGGAGAGGGATGGAGACACTGCAACCTGTGGCTGGATGTCAGTTCACGTGAGGGCTGACTGGAGGCAGAGCCCAGCCTCAGCAACAAGCCAAAGGTGCCCAGAATAAGGTAACAAGGGGGGCTGAGCGGACGGGCAGCTTGGGAGAAAACAGGACAAGTGAAGGGCTGAGGTGCCTGCTTTCCTTCCGGCCACAGAGAACCCTTCTGGTATGTCTCCAGCAACACTTGACAGCAGACACAGGCAGCCTGGCAGTCCAGCCTTGGCACGGGGCGAGCTGGGAGAGGAATACCGGCAGCAAGCATGTGGCAGGAACGGGGGTGGCCACAGGGGTGGGCAAGCCAGATCAGACAGAAGCAAGCCAGACCTGAAGCAGGGGGGAAGTGAGAACCTGCAGAGTCCTGTGTCCCCGCAGCAACGTGGAAGGAGGAAGTGACCAAGAAGAGCCCAGGACAAGAAAAGATAGGCTTGGGGACTGGCCCGGTGCCTGCACCATTTATCCAGGCGACTGGCGTGGCTGTGGCCACAGGAACAGCAGATGTACAGAAGCACAGCACAAGAGAGCAAATGCCAAGGACACCCAGGACCGAAACTCACTCACTCCACACACGACAGGGACACCTGGGACAGAGCCTCACTCCCTGCACAAGCCAGGGGCAGATTGTGACCTCATCTAAAATCAGAGAACAGCAATGATGGCAGGCAGATTCCTGATCAGAGCACTCAAACTCTCCTCCCTCGAAGGAAGCTAGAACGGGTAGCATGACTGCTTATCCGACTTGGTGTGGCCACCGGAGCCACAGCACGTGGCAGGCAACTGCTGTTCAACAGGTTAGGGACTTCAGTCATGCAAGACGTAGCAGTTTGAGTGACCTGTTGTAGACACTAGGCCAAGTTAGCAATTCTGCACTGTACACGGAAGATCATGCTAGGAGGGCCAATCTCACGTTGTATGACTTTTGCCATCATAAAAAAGCCCCAGGAAAGTGGTCAACCCCCTCCAGCCGGCCCCGGGACCCTAAGGGAACCTGAACAGTGGCTCGTCCACAGGAAGCTACACACCCGCCGCGGTGCTGGCAGAACAGCTGCACGGGCCGCTGCCACGAGGGTCTTCCAGAACGGGACCAGGAATGAAAGCCCCCACCACAGGCGACTCTAATGAGCAGCCAGCGTGGGCGGACGGCTCTGCAGACGTGGTCTCTGCCAGGGCCCTACTTCCGGAAGTCTTCGATGTCTTGGGATTTTGTGAGGAGGAGGGCCTGTTCCAGCTGCCACTGCAAGGCCTGGGAGTGCTGGGAGCCAACAGGGGGGTGCAGCAGAGGTGCCTCCACATCAAACCCAGAAAAACAGAGTGGGGACACAGCAGGACCCAGCAGCACTGTCCCCCGAACACCCACAGCACCATCCCTTCCCTGAGCAGGAGGAGCCATCTGCTGTCCTCTGCTCCCACGTGGCCCTCTTCATTCCTACAGACAGGACCAGGACCTGTGCTGGAGGACAGCCTTCTTTATCTCCCTCCCTCTACCCTGTCCTGGCAGAATCAATGCACCAATTTTTTGTTTTGTTTTGTTTTTGAGACAGAGTTTCACTCTTGTCACCCAGGCTGAAGTGCAATGGCACCATTTCAGCTCACTGCAACTTCCTGGGTTAAAGTGACTCCTCTGCCTCAGCCTCCTGAGTAGCTGGGATTACAGGCACACACCACCATGCCCAGCTGATTACTGCATTTTTAGTAGAGATGGGGGTTCGCCATGTTGGCCAGGCTGGTCTCGAACTCCTGACCTCAGGTGATCCACCTGCCTCCGCCTCCGAAAGTACTGGGATAACAGACGTGAGCCTCCGCACCTGGCCATCAACACAATTAAATCTTAAATACAGGGCTGGGCGCGGTGGCTCACGCCTGTAATCCCAGCACTTTGGGAGGCCGAGGTGGGGGGATCACGAGGTCAAGAGATCGAGCCCATCCTGGTCAACAAGGTGAAACCCCGTCTCTACTAAAAATACAAAAAAAAAAAAAAAAAAAAATTAGCTGGGCATGGTGGCGCGTGCCGGTAATCCCAGCTACTCAGGAGGCTGAGGCAGGAGAATTGGCTGAACCCAGGAGGCGGAGCTTGCGGTGAGCCAAGATTGCGCCATTGCACTCCAGCCTGGGTAACAAGAGCGAAACTCCGTCTCAAAAGAAAAAAATAAATCTTAAATACAAACCTGCATATTGGCTGACCATGTGCACCTGCAAAACCCTTCCCTCCCACCCCCAGGAAGAGGGAGTTTTTGTCCTCAACTCCCATTCCTATCCTTGAAATCGTGAAGGGGATTATAGGTAACCTGCAGGCACTCTGCCAAGAGTGTCTGTGCTTCCACCCGCTTCCCCACCTTGTGAGCACCCCAGCTCCACAGTACGCCCCGCCCCGCCTGTTCACTGCTCTGGCCTCAGCGCCTGGAAACTGCACGTCCATAAAAAACCTGAAGGCGAACCTCATAGCTTTATGCAAACTGGACGGGAGAGAGAGCAGAGGCAGAGATCACCACGTCCACTGACGTCCTGAGCAAGAAGCCACGTGTGCCCACATGATGCAGACCAGAGGACCAGGGCTCTGCCTGCCCTCTTTTCTGAACCCCTACTGCATTGAGGTCTGGGGCCTGGGACCTAGACGGCCACCCTCTCCTCACCTGGGCTCCTGCGCAGCCAAGCGCAGTCACGCACGCTCATCTTCCAGGTCAGCTCCTGCAGCGACAGCTTGGCATGCTTCCCCAGAGAGATGAACTTCTTGGTGTTCCTGAGGAAGCGACGCTCGTTGTGCCTGGAGCCCCAGAGGCCGGGAGGCACCAGCCGGCGCAGGCAGGCCCGCAGGAAGCTGTACACCTGCCAGGGGCTGCTATGCTGGCGGAGCAGCTGCACCAGGTGACGAGGGTCTGTGTCCTCCTCCTCGGGGGCTGCCACAGAACCCAGGGGCTCCTGGGCACAGACACGGGCCGCCGGGGTGACCACAGTCCGCAGTGGGCAGTGCGTCTTGAGGAGCGCCCCGTAGGGGCACCGCGCGTGGTTCCCGAGCAGCTCCAGAAACAGGGGCCACATCTGCCAGTAGCGCTGGGGCAGGCGGGGCAGCCTGCGGGGCGTCCCTGGCCTCGAACCCAGAAAGATGGTGTCCAGGAGCCTGCGGGCACCCGTCAGGCTGGGGCGCAGGGCGCTGAGTAGGAAGGAGGGCCGAAGCCGCTCCTGGGCACCCGAAGAGTAGAGGAAGTGCTTGGTCTCGGCATAGACCAGGGGACATGGCGTGTCCCGGGGCTGCGGGGATCGCGATTTGGATGGGGGCCCCGCCCCGGGCTAGTGGCCCGCTGATGGGTACGAGTGGCATGTGCCAGGGGCTTCCTCGGCGGCTCCCGCAGGTGTCACCACGCAGAAACCGTGGCCACTCGGTCCAAGTGTCCTGCCGGGGTGCGCCTGAGATCCCTGCCCCACAGGCGTCCGCTCCGGCTCCAGGGCAGGCCCACACCTGGGCCTCTTGGGCCACGGTGGACTTACGCTGGCGCTACCCCGGCGCCTTCTCTCACCCGGGGCTGGCAGGCCCAGGCGGACCCCGGGCTCCCTAACGCTGCTACTCCAGGCCCGTTTGTATCCCAGGCCCCTTCGCGTCCCAGCCGCGTGTGGCCCGGACCGGGGCGTAGCGCCGAGCTCGTACAGCCGCGGCCTGCACGCCTGGAAGGCGTAGCTGGGAGCCACCAGCACGTAGAGCGCGCAGTGCGCCAGCAGGTAAACCAGCACGTCGTCGCCCAGGCGGCGCAGCGGGAGCGCCCACGCCCCGCTGCCGCGCAGCATCTCGGTCACCGTGTGGGGCCGGTAGCTGCGCACGCTGGTGGTGAAGGCCTGGGGGGGGGGGCCGCCGCCGGCGCCATCCAGCAGCGCGAAGCCGAAGGCCAGCACGTTCCTCGCGCCACGCTCGCAAAGCCTCTGCAGCACCCGGGCCACCAGCTCCTTCAGGGGGGACACCTGCGGGCGGGGGAAGCGCCCTGAGTCGCCCGCCGGGGGTGCGCGCGCCGCTCCGCTCCCACCCCAGCGCCGGACGCGGACCTCGGGTGCCCCACTTGGTGGAGGGATGGGGCGGCTGGGGGCGGCCGTGCGTCCCAGGGCACGCACACCAGGCACTGCGCCACCAGCGCGCGAAAAGCCGCCGGGTCCCCGCGCTGCACGAGCCGCCAGCCCTCGGGCCCCAGGCGCCGCACAAACGTGGCCAGCGGCAGCATCTGGCGGTAGCGGCTGCGCAGCAGGGAGCGCACGGCTCGGCAGCGTGGCGCGCGCGGCATCGCGGTGGACCGCAAGGGCCGGAGCGCGGCGCCCCACGTGCGCAGCAAGACGCGGCGCCAGCAGCCTCCAAACTGCGCCCCAAGAGAAGGCGGGACCGCGGAGAGGAAGGGGCGGGGCTGGAGAGTGAGGGGCGGGGCTGGAGGGGAGGGGGCGGAGAGGGCCGGAGGAGGGGGGGCCGGGGATCGCGGACGGGGAGGGGTCGGGACGGGGACGGGGTCGGGGTCCGCGCGGAGTCGGCGGAGTCGGCGGAGCTGGGTGAGGGCCGGGGCGGGCCGGGTTTAGGGAGCCTGGGTCCCTCTCCCTCTGCCACATGGGCAGCGTAGTCCCGGGCGTCTGCGCCCCCGAATCCACCGGGAGTCCGGCCTGGCCTGGCCTCGACTGCGCAGCTGCTCCGTGCGGACCCGGGGGTCTGGGCCGCGCTTCCCGCCCGCGCGCAGCCCCCGCTCGCAGGGTGCAGCGACCCCCGCGAGGGCCCCGCAGAGAGGGGTGACGTCAGCCCAAGCACGGGGTAACCCGAGGGAGGGGCGGTGGCCCTGGGCACAGGTGCTTGTGGTGCTCCCTTCATCGCTTTCCCAGACTGGCCGGACCCCGAGAGCCAGGCTGTCCCCCGGTCCGGACGGGGGACGTCGGGAAGAAACAGGGCGGCGGGGTCCCGGCACTGGGAATGCAGGGCTCCCGGGGAGGACCGAAGCGCGTAGACGCGGCTGGGGACGACCCCCAGGGCACAGCGCTCCCGGGATGGGCACGCGGGGCTCTCGGAGCGCCTCCCTGCCCGCGGGCAGTACTTCCCCGCGACTTGGTCTCCTTTTCTCTTTGCAGGTTCTTAGGCTGCGAGGGGTCCCCACCATGAGCAAACCACCTCAGATCTGTTCATCACCCACCGGGGCCGTCCCGTCGAGGAAGGGTGGGACATGCATTCAGATGCTCCTCTGGCCCGGCACTGGGGGCCTCACACCTGCCGCAGCTGCCTTTACCCTGGGCCCTGGCGCGGTGTCCACCAGCTGAGGCCAAACTCAGGTCACTCCCACCCGCAGAGGGAGGAGGGCAGCCTCGGGGGTCCGGGAACCTGGCTACAGCCTCGGACCGCTGAACCAGAAGGCCCGACCTCCAGCCCAGCTGAGGAAGCCACGCAGCCGCTGGGCCCCTGCAGACCCAGGGCCCGGGCACAGCCGAGGACTTCCCCGAGACCCAACTTCGGCTGCTCAAGTTTGCATCTAAGAGGTAAGAAACTTCTGGGTCTCCAGGGGCTTTGCCGGGAGCGTGTAGCTGAGGTCGGCAAACACTGAAATGCTAACAGATGCAACCTTCAATGTAACCTTTCCTACTTTCCGAGAGTGTCGGCGGAAATTGCTTTATTTATGGACCTAGCATTTGAACAGGTCTCGCACCCTCCCTGAGCCATCACACTCGCTAGGGGTTTGCCTCACCTTGTAAATACTTAGGATTACAGGTTGCTCTTCTAGAAATCCCCTTAGTGAATCCAAAGTCTTTTTAAAGGGCTGTGTTCGTGAATTGTCTCTGCCACGCGGGCAAAGGGACTGATGTGGAAAATTTGTTCCAACAAAAGTTAAGTTGTAGCTTACTCTGGTTCCCCCAGAGAAACCAACACAGAAAACCTAATTTTAAAAGAGGGAATAGAAGAAACTCAGGCGGAAGATTACACTGGAGTGACTGACACCACGTCCAGGAGGAGGAGACGTCTCCCAGCTTTCAGTGAAAATCGAAGACGCCCCAGTATTATGGGTGCAGTTAGTCTATCTTTGAAAAGCTGATGCTGTCTCAGTCATCACAATGGAAAACATTAAGAATGTTCTAAGAGGCCGGGCCCGGTGGCTCTGCCTGTAATCCCAGCACTTTGGGAGGCCGAGGTGGGCGGATCACGAGGTCAAGAGATGGAGACCATGCTGGCCAACATGGTGAAACCCTGTCTGTACTAAAAATACAAAAATGAGCTGGATGTGGTGGCGCTCACCTATAGTCCCAGCTAGCTACCTGGGAAGCTGAGGCAGGAGAATCGTTTGAACCCAAGAATTGCAGTGAGTCAAGATTGCACCACTGCACTCCAGCCTGGCGCCTGGCGATGGAGCAAGACTGTCTCAAAAAAAAGAATGTTCTAAGAAAAACAGATTAACAGATTCTATCATTGGCTTAAAACCCCACAACACTTGAGTGGGGTGAGCTTCCTCTTTCAGATCCAGATATTTCTAAACAGAGTGGATTCTGGGCTGGGTGCAGTGGCTCACACCTGTAATCCTAGCACTTTGGGAGGCCAAGGCAGGTGGATTACCTGAGGTCAGGAGTTCAAGACCAGCCTGGCCAACATGGTGAAACCCTGTGTTTACTAAAAATACAAAAAAAAAATTAGCTGGGCATGGTAACAGGCACCTGTAATTCCAGCTACTTGCGAGGCTGAGGCAGAAGAATCGCCTGAACCTGGGAGGCAGAGGCTGCAGTGAGCCGAGATGGCACCATTGCACCCCAGCCTGGGCAACAAGAGTGAAACTCTGTCTAACACAAATAAAAAGAGACAGAGTGGATTCTGTACCAGCAGTGAAAAATAAAGTATTGTTCCTTCCTCCACAAAAGGAGTGAAAGGAACTCATCTGCCCCTGGGGGGTTAGGAAAGGGGCACAATACCAGCCGAGTAGGCAGGATGGCCTTTAATTTCTACTTAAATCTCAGTGTCTCAGCACACACTGAGACATCGAGACTCAGGACGGTGTCCACACTTGCACCCTGATTCTACATTGGCTTCCTCCTGGCAGATGGTGACTCTGCTGGGACCTGAGGCCTGCAGCCCCTCAGCCACTGGCAGGGTGGGGGCCTCATGGTCCCTGCATTGGGTCCCACAGCATAACAGGTGGTCACAGAAACTGTGGATACATCAAGAGACGGTATATCCCGTCTACAAGGAATTCCAGAAAATATCAAAGGGAAACTTCTGAGTAAAGGGGAAACAACTCCATAAACTCCCGACCAGAGGGTGTGACTTGAGCCCAGGGAAGTTTCAAAATGGTTCAGTAGGCCAGGCGCGGTGGCTCACATCCTAGCACTCTGGGAGGCTGAGGTCGGCAGATCACCTGAGGTCAGGAGTTCGAGACCAGCCTGGCCAACGTGATGAAACCCCATTTCTACTAAAATTACAAAATTAGCCAGCATGGTGGTGGCGCCTGTAATACCAGCTGCCTGGGAGGCTGAGGTCGGCAGATCACCTGAGGTCAGGAGTTCGAGACCAGCCTGGCCAACACGATGAAACCCCATCTCTACTAAGATTAAAAATTAGCCAGTATGGTGGTGGCGCCTGTAATACCAGCTGCTTGGGAGGCTGAGGCAGGAGAATCACTTGAACCTGGGAGGCAGAGGCTACAGTGAGCCAAGATCCCGCCACTGCACTCCAGCCTGCGCAACAAGAGTGAAACTGTCTCAAAAACTAAGGAAATAAATAAAATAAACTGGCCAAATAAATCACTCAAGCCTGCGCTTTCCTTCCCCAAAGGCGCTTTAGTCCTGACTTGGACGTTTCTGTAAACTTTTGTTCCGAAATAATCCAAGATGCGCAGCACTTGGGTTTCCTGCTGCCGCAAATGCCCACATGCTTTGTGCTAGAAGGGCAGCACGGGTGCCCTCCCATGACGTGAGTGCCCTCCTAAGGTGAGGAGGCTCTCCTATGACACAGGTGCCCTCCTACAATGTGGGTGCCCTCCTACGGCGATGGTACCCTCCTGCATCGTGGGTGCCCTTCTACATCGAGGGTGCCCTCCTACGGTGTGGAGGCCAGAGGTCCACATTGGGCCCTGGTGGGCTAAAGGCGAGCTGCGCCTTCCCGCTGCAGACCCCGGGGAGGGTCCCTTCCCTACCCTTTCTGGCATCCTAAGGTGCTCACAGACCTGGGCTTGAGGGCCCTCCTCCCTCTTCAGCCTCTGCCTGACTCTGCCTCCATCATCCCAGCTGCCCATCTCTGACCCTGATGCCCGCCTCCTCCCAGAACCCCTGGATTACTTTTCTGGCCTTCATGTCATCCCGAATGACCCTGGATGGTCCCAGGGCCGGGTGGGTTCTGTCCATCAGGACACCAGCATCTCTGGGGCATTATCCTTCCCAGGACACTTGGGTGTAGCAAAGATGGCACGTCCTCCGGGTTCCCTCATCCCGGAGGGATACCCCATGGTTATGTCCCCCATAACTAAGCCAATACTCCGTTAGAACCAGGAACTTCTTGCGTTTATGAATGGCGTGTTCTCTGCACTGCTGAGGAGCTGTCCATGGCACAGACGGGCCAGTCTGTTTGACCGTTTTGTCCAAGGACATTTTAGCAGCAATTTCCCCACTTTGTAGCTCTTCAAACTTCTGTGGTCAGTTGTGGACACGAGTTTGTGCGCGACGTGCATGATCATGTGAATTCCCAGGGCTCTGGGATCAATGTCCAGGAGTGTGACTGCTGGGTCTCTTGGTAAGAGGATGCTTAGCTCTTGTGGAAGCTGCCACCCTGTGCTCCAGAGGGAGGGGGCAGGGAAGTTCTGGGCAGAGAACGGTGAGTCCCTGGCAAGGGCTCCAGCCACGGCCTGTGCCCACAGACCCAGTTGAGGCCAGACGCTCCTACCTTCACACACAAATGTTGCATTTCCCAAGACCACCTGGTCACCGCAGCCCCATCCTGTGCCTATAAAATCCCCGAGACCCTAGTGGGCAGAGACACAACTGGCTGGACGTGGAGGGGCGCACAGCGGCAGAAGAACATGGTGATGGCCCGGCAGACACCAGGAGAGCAGGAGGGCCTGGAAAGGGAGGCCCCAGCGCAGTGGACACCAGGAACCTGCACCTGCCACAAGCCAGGTTGAGGCTCAGAGGAGCCAGTCTAGGAAGTGCAGAACCTCCTCCCTTCAACACGTGTGAGGGTTGGGGAAGGAGACAGACACCCAACGTAAGGAGGAACTATGCGAGCCACGTTGCTGAGACAAGGCACAGAGGGAGAGGAGAGGAACATGGGCCCACCTGGGGCTTAGGAGGCTGCTGGAGATGCTGAGCCCTGGAGGCAGAGGGTGTGGGGGCACAGCTGGCCTCAGTGTGACACCCCAGGGTGAGTCTCCAGGGCAGATGGCTCCCTCGGGAAGCAGCAGCCAGGCCCTAGAATCTGGGGCACTGCCTGCTGGGACAGCCTCGGGGTCCTCTGTTTCGCAGGCTCTCCTAGTCTAAAGGAACAGACCGTGCCAGCCGCTATTGCCACCCACCTGCTGCCTGAAAGCCTTGTCCTCTCTCCTGGTCTCTATCCATCAGGAATGTGGGCAGGGCTCTTTGGGTCCAGTAAAAGAATGGTGTTTGTACTGAGTTTGTGGTGATCTGTCCCGCCTGAAGACGTGGCTGGAATTATTGTTGTCCTTACTGGTGAAGATGAATCATGATGGGAGTGACAGTCCCCATCAGTGGAGTGGTGTAATTGACATGGCCATTTCATACACGATCTCCTTACCCTCAACCCCCCGGGGAAGCGGGCAGGCAAGGGCCATGTCCGTTCCCACAGGTTCCAGGCTCCGTGACTTCCTGGGCTGGTGTGGGCAGGTACAGGAAGCTGGCCTGGGCTCCTGGGTCGCACACAGAGTGGCCGTCTTCATGTTGCTGAATGCAGCAGCCCCATGGGGGACAGTCAGTGGTCCTGCTGTCAGCCACCCAGGCCTGGGAACGCTCTCCCTGGCGGCTTTGCCACGCTCATGGTCCTGCCACCCGTCCCTCTCCTCGTGTACCTTCCCTTGCACCATAAGCCACCGTATGAAAACCAATAAAAAGTACTTAGGGCGAAAAATCCCTCTGAATGTGGTTATTAAATCCTTGGGCCTCGGCAAACATAGCTCAG